GTGATAAAATATAAATCTTAAAATTTATAAAAAAAAACAAACAAAATGAGCATTATAAAAATAACTCTCAGTATCTCAATTATATGCATACGACTAACCAGTGCAATGAAGTGTTCCTTCGCTCACTTCGGCGAGAATCCGTCTCACAGTTGAACATCCACTTGATGTCAACGAAGATCCTAAAAACTAGAATTAAAAAAAAATAATTAATTGAACAGTTTAATTCAATTTACTAATAGGTTCTTTTCTTTTTTTTTGTAATTCACCTCCCCAAGGCCGAGAAGGCCACTACAGAGAAGGAGACTATGGTTATAACCCTCTCTTAACTCTATAACTCTGAAACACGAACCTTGACAAACAAGGCCGCTGCGCGGAGAAACAAGTTAAGCGCAGTACTACCAGGACGCGGTGGGAATCGAACTTAAATGCATATATGTAAATATATATATATATATATATATATATATATATATATATATATATATATATATATATATATATATATATATATATATATATATATATACATACATAGTCAATATACTAATGAATATAGCAAATTACCACAGAATTGGGTGCAGACAACGGATTGCTTTCGCATAAAGTACTTTTATCAACTACACTTGGTAAATTTGGATGCATGTTTGTGTCCTACTTACAAAAGCCAACTATAAGATTACTTGAGAACATTATGGAATTCAGTTACATTTTAATTGAAAAATATTTAAATGAAAATAGTATTAAAAGTACCTTCTCTTCTAACACTTCCAAAACAGAACCTTGCCTTTTATTTGACTTTAAATGATCTGAAAGAGTTAAATTTTCAGTACTAAATAAAGTTAAAGGATGAATTGGAGGAGCTGGAGCAAGTGTCTTTTTTTTTTTATTCATAACTTTCTTTTGTTTTTTTAATAACTGTTGAGTGTCACTTTCTGAACTTGAATAGTCAAAGTTATGATACGATACATCTCTGTAAAATAATGAAAGAAAATCAACATCATGATATGATGATCATCATCTAAATTACATATAATCACATAATGATCATCATGAGAAAGACCATCACCTGGTAGGGCGAAGACTCTTCTGAATTCTATTTTCTTCTGAATTAATTGAATCTTCACCCTCGTTATTTGAGAAAAAATCTGATGAAACTTCTGCCATAGGTAGTTTTTCTCTCGCTTTTTCATATGATACTAAAAAAAATTGGGGTTTAAAAATCAAAATAGTGAAAAATTGTTTCAAAAAGAAAAACAATTTAAAAAAACATAAACTTTTAAAAATTTTTGTGAAATTACTAACCAGAGTTATACATGATACTTATGTCATATTCAGTCCAATCATCTCCAGGAACTTCACATTTTTTAATGGCTCTGTTAAGGCGTTCGGTCTTATATGAGCAGGGCCATAGACAAATACAATTTGTTACCCATTTAGCGGGAACAACAGCCACTGAATCTTTTTCATCAATAAATTTAACAATATGATACAATTTATCCATTGTTCTTTTAGAAGAAAATTATAGACTAAATATGGTAGTATTATTGACATATTATAGTTAGTAATTAAGTGTTGGTTGATAATTAAAAATAACTTAAATTTGAGAAATTTAAAAATAGAGAACAGCAAAAAATACAAAAAGCAATTAAAAAATAAAAAGGAAATAAAATTTGAAAACAAATACAAAATACACATCACGTAACATTTAAATTATTAACTATCAAACGTATCATTATAAACAATATTAATATAATATTGTTATTATTAGAAAATAGACACTTATTAAATAATAAAACAATTTATTTTTTTATCAATAATAAAAATATATAAACAAATTCCAACAAATTTAATTATAACAAGTGAAGCAAGGGTGACACGACAAAACCATTGTCAACTTGTAACAAGACACACTTGAGAAATTTGTCATCTAAAATTGCAATACGATCCACTTTATCTAAATGTGATACTAGAAATATTCCTAACACACTTGAATCACAAGGATAAGTAAAAAAATTTGATTTTGTCAAAAATGACCAGTATACAATATAGGTAATATCATCAAAAACACAAATATTTTTCACTAAACAAATTTCATTTTCTATTTTAACACAGTTATTGCCACATGTTATTTTAAGACAAAAATTTGGTAAATAAACTTCATTATATTGTAGTGAAAATCTTAAAAAATCAGGGCATGGTCCTTTGTTATGTTGCTTTCTATATTTAATTTTTTGATCAGGTAAAAAGTCATTTATTACAGCATCACGTTCCGACTGTCTACGAATAATTTGAGCTAAAGGATGTTGTGGTTTTCTTATCATTTTTTTTAAATGCTGCAAGTAATTTTCATATGGAAATCCAGATATTT